AGCAGGGCACCAACTCCTACATCTGCCCCTTCTCCCCCTCCAGCGAGGCGGGGATCAGCGATCCCACAATCCCACGGATCCGTGGGAACCATGGATGCTGCATGGCACAGGCAAGGAACGCTGCCCCAGCACCTCCAGCAGCTCCCAAAATGTGGAACCCCCCTGCCTGTAGGGTAACCAAAAGCTGATTTTTTTCCCCCCCTCAGCATCAATTAATGACTAAAATCATTCCATGCCCTGGCCTTTTTCTCCTGCTGGGATGGTGAATGCACCTGGATCACGAGTGCTCGGCAAAAATGTCCCCAAGTTGTCCCTACAACTCTTCACCCAGCAGCCGAGGAGCTGGAACGACAGCAGCCGGCAATTAACAGCTGATCTTTCTGATTTTTGATAAATCCAGCATTCTGGAGAAGCTGGAGCTGAGTTCCATGTGCCACAGAGGAAAAGTTTCCCACAGAACACACATCCCTTTGGGATGGGGACAGAGCCAGGGGACAGGGCCATGGGCACAGGCGAGCAGCCTGCGCCCTGCAGCTCCGTTTCCATCCTTCCCTGGTGCAAAAACCCCATAATTTTTAAGGTTAATAAAGCCCTTGTTTGCTTAAGACAGCACCTGTTTCTATGGTGACACTTGCAACCCGGAGCCTGTTTATCAACGGCGACGCCGCGCGCGGTGACAAGCGCGGCCACCGCCGGGGAAGACACCGCGGGGAAGGCCAGCGGTGCTGCCAGCGCCTCTGGGGACAGCGGTGCCACCATCCCAAATGCGCCAGTGCCCATCCCTGGGATCCCCACTCTGCCCTACAAAGCCACGGGAGGGGCTGGAGCAGCGGGAGCTGCACCCACAGTGCGGGGAAGGCCGGGCTGAGCCATGGGTGGGACCGGCTCTCATCAAAAACATTGGATCCACTTCCCCCATCCCACCCCAGAGTTGCCTGTGGCAGCTCCGTGCCTCAGTTTCCCCAGCGCCCTGCCCTGGGAAGGGGTTTGGGGCTGATCCAAGCGGTGCTGGTGGCAGCAGAGCCCGGCGGGTCCCGCTCGGTTCCATCCTGGCGCAGGATTTCTCCCGGCTGGCAGAACCCGTTTCCATAACGACTTTCTGTTACAAACATATTTTGATAAAAATAAAGTTAAAGCGGCGAGGCTTTAGTGGAGTACAAATTCGCTGCTCTCGCCCTCCCCCTTCCTCCTCCCCGAGGAGGGGGAATAAAGACGGAAAGCTTTCCATTTGAAGGGCAGTATTTTCTCCCTTCTTTTTCTTTCCCCACTGAATACAAAATGGAAAACCTTGTTTACCGGGGATTCGCTGTAAACCGGTTCCGAGTCTGCCTGGTTACCTGATGCTCTACAGTATGTACAGGATAATGTGATAAATTCATTTCCAATTCACTGCATTATCCTTTGAATATTTTAATGACTCATTGAATGGAGTAAAAAAAAAAAAAAAAAAAGAGGAAAAAAAAAGCTATTTCAAATGAACAATTATGCTGCATTAGAGTAAAGGCTGATTATATTTAAACACTGCTTCCATGGATAACGGGACATATCGACCTCCGCCTATAAGAGCTAATTTGGCTCTTATCTCTAAATAATTTTACACTGCAAATTACCATGAAAACCTAAAGGGCTTTAAAAACATTCATCAAAAGATATTATTCCACTTTGTAGCAACATTTTTATTTAAATTATTTTGAATAGGAGTGAAAGCATCTCTCGTGTTTGACAATCGGAGCAGCGACGGAGCAGCGGCTGATAAGGAACGGCGAGCGGCGCTGAGGGGATGGGATGGTTCCATCCCGAAAACCCACCTGGGAGAGCAAATCCCCAGCCAAACCCCAAAGCTGGTGGCGTGCCAAAGTACTGCAGCACCCAGGAGTGGCATTTAGTGCTGCTGGAGCTGCTTCCCTCCAAACTGGGGGATGGCAAAGCCTGGGGGATGCCAGAGGGATGCCAGGGCGATACACAAGTGATGCTGGGGGGAGGCCGGGGTGGTACCCAAGGGATGCTGGGCTGATACCCAAGGGATGTCAGGGTGGTGCCCAAGGGATGTCAGGGTGACGCCCAAGGGATGTCAGGGTGGTAACCAAGGGATGCTGGGGTGGTACCCAAGGGATGCTGGGGTGACATCCAAGGGAGGCTGGGCTGACACACAAGAGATGCTGGGGTGGTACCCAAGGGATGCTGGGGGGATGCCAGAGTGACACCCATAGGATGATGAGGGGATGCCAGGGTGACACCCAAGTGATTCCTGGGGGATGCTGGGGCAAAGCCAGGGCAATAGGCAGGTGATGCTGGGCAATAGGCAGGTGATGCTGGGCAATACCAGGATGATGCTGGGAGACACTGGGGTGATACTGAGCGATACTGGGTGATACTGGGGTGATGCTGGGCGATACTGGGGTGGTACCAAGCACTGCAGGGTGATACTGGAGTGAGACTGAGTGCTACTGGGGCGGTACCCAAGCACTGCTGGGCAATACTGGGCATACTGGAGTGACACTGGGTGATACTGGGGTGGTACTCAAGCACTGCTAGGAGATACTGGGGTGATACTGGGGTAATACTGGATGATACTGGGGTGGTACTAAGCACTGCAGGGCAATCCTGGAATGACTCTGGGTGATACTGGGGTGATACCAAACACTGCTGGGCAATGCTGGGCAGTACTGGAGTGACACTGGGTGATACTGGGGTGATACCAAACACTGCTGGGCAATGCTGGGCAGTACTGGAGTGACACTGGGTGATACTGGGGATGACACTGGGTGATACTGGGGTGACACTGGGTGATACTGGGGTGGTACCAAGCACTGCAGGGCAATACTGGAGTGACACTGGGTGATACTGGGGTGGTACCAAGCACTGCTGGGTGATACTGGAATGACACTGGGCGATACTGGAGTCATACCAAACACTGCAGGGCAATGCTGGAGTGACACTGGGTGATACTGGGGCGATGCTGGCTCGGTGCTGAGGTGACACTGGGCGACGCTGGGGTGACACCGGGGCACCGGCGGGCGCGGGGGCTCCGCCAGCCCCCCGGCACGGCACCGGCCGTCCCACCCCTCCCAGAGAAAGGCACTTGCAAGCCCCTCTCTGCACCAAAGCAACAGAAGGTGTCATGTAAAGCCTACACGGTTATTTTAGAGCCAGTGTGCAAATAAGGCTGTCAGCTGAAGCTCCTCGGAGCCAAGACTTCCATATCCCCCCGAGGATCTGCATCTCAACGAGACACCATGTGGCTGAGCCCGCCGGCTCTGCACCCGGATTTGGGGCTGGGGGATCGGGAAAACTCCTCCCAGGCACGCCAGGCCCCCCCCCAGTGCACCCCCAGCCACGGGGACCGAGCTGAGGGGGTTTGGTTCCAGTGTCCTCACTGGATGGGGTTGATTTCTTGGTGGTTTATTGGGCATTTGTGGGATTTGGGGGATTTATACGCGTTTCTGTGTGTGTAGAGGAGAGATACATATACACACACCCACGGGAGATAGAGGGGATATATTTATCCCATCATTATAGGGATCATATCAATATATAGGTTTTATATAGAATATTGCATGGAATCAGTGAATATCTCACATTGGAAGGGACCATCAAGAGCACCGAGGCCAAATCCCTGCTCAGATATGTGTGTTTATATTTATAAATGTATTTATCTCGTGATAAGAAAGCTTAAGGAATTGAAGCTTAAGGGACGGGCTCTGCCCCATCCCTGGCAGGTGGGGAAAACCCTTTTCTCTCCCAAAAATCTCCTTTTTCCCGCCCTCTTTCATGGCCTAACACAGGATTTTTGACCTTAGAGTTCGCAAATGGCATCACCCAAATGCCAGGGGAAAAAATCCCACCTTCCATTTGCGCCGGGGGTTTGAATCCCATATTTCCCTTCTTTGCTTAAAGGATTTTACACTCCAAAAAAAAAAAAAGGAAAACCACAATAATTAGCGAGAGGGAACGGCTCCGAAGGATCTGTGTACAGAAGGAAACACAGGAGCTTGGGCTCCTTTGCGTTTGGTAAATATTAAAATTAATGAGAGACTTTCAGGACCCTGTTGTTAGAAATGCAGAAGGGTTTCTGTGAAGGATAAAAACACAAAACAACACGAAAAAAAAGCCCCAAGCTCTGTACACAAATTCCTGCAATTATTCCCGATGCTTCCTATTTTTCAGCCAATTATGGAATTCAGGGAAAGTATTAATATCCTGTTTTAATTTGCTTAATATGCCCATTAACAATAAAAAGTCTAATTAAGGTATCTGTACAAAGAGCCCTCAGCAGTAATTTCAGAGAATAATAGAGGAGAACGACGTGATATTTCTTGTTAAATGCATGCTGCAAATTAATTGATATCTTAATTAGGCTTTAGTACCCAGATTATCAGTTAGATTGATTTAGGGCTGCAACATCTCATTTTTTGAAGACATAAAAACAAGCAGGAAGGGAAAAAACTGCTTTTCCAAAATATTTCTGGGAGCAAAGCCACGACGCACCGGGACAGGGGGAAGGACTCATCCCATGGACACAGTGCTGGGAAGCGCCACAATTCATCCCAAACTCATTTTGCCCCTTGTTTTCTCACCGAATTCAAACCATTTTTAATAAAATAAAATAATTAAAAACTAGAAAATTAATTGAGATTTTCACCAAACCCACTTTTTTAAAGCCCAAAACCCAACCAGCAGCAGGAGCTGTTTGGAAGGACGCGTTGTCTCCACAGAGAAAACCGGTGGTGGGGAGTTGGCAAAGTGGCTTTTGGGGGTTTTTTCCAGCATTTCCTTAGGAGAAGGAGAGGAAAAAAAAAAACCCAAAACCCAAGCAGCAATATTTTTGGACCAGCCTGGCTCTTTATAGCCTGAGGAAGCACTTCCCTACCTACACGCCCAGCACCATTTACATTTTCTGGCAAACACTCGTCCTCCCTCCGGGGTTTTTCCAGGAGGAGTTTGCATCCCGTGGGATTCCAGCCCTCCCTGGATGCTCGGGAACGGCCCCATGGACTCACCAGGATGTCAGTGACCAGCCAGTGCCTCCAGAAGCGTTGCCGGGGGTTGGCTCTGTTGGGACAGTCGGGGTCCACCATCACCAGGACGTATTTCTTGTTCTGCAAGAGAGGACAGGGGGATGCTGTGGCCATGGGGTGACAGTAAAAACCCCCAAATCCACATTTTTCCACTCTTTCCCAGCAGGAGCACTCTGGTGGTGTCACCCCAGAGGTGAGTGAGGAATGGGCACCAGGGGAGGCCACAAACTCGCTAGGGATGATTTAATCCCAAATATTTCCAGAGGACAAATGTGGGTTCTGCCTCCTCCAAAGAAAAGGCACCAAGGAGAATTCCTTCAGCTTCTCACCATGTCCCACTGAGGCTCAGGACTGCAGCCACTCTGGTATTTTTGGGATCCAGACTTGGTTGGGGACAAGCTGGATGCCCCATGCTCCATGGGGGTGGCTGTGGGGAGCCAAACTCTACCCCAAACATCCCAAAATAACCAAAATATGTTCCCGGGATGCTGCAATAAGCAGCACCTGGGGGCCAGGTACCACTCCTGGGTGATGGAATTGGGCAAAGAGAGCTGGGATTTATGGATAACACTGATTTAGCCCCCAGGAAACCCTCACAGCCCCCCCAGGCCCCCACTGAGGGTACCCAGCACCCAAAGGTGCCACCAGCACAGAGCCCACGTGGATATTTTGGTACGCTGAGGATGGAGCTGAGTTGGAAATGACCTCTGGAGGGAAAACCTGCTGATCTCCAGGGATTTGGCAGGACCTCGGGCACCAGATTATCCCTCAAGCACGCAGATTAAGGGATCTATATCCGAATGAAAGCTCCAGGTGCGTCTGTCAGGGCGCCAGCGGTGCCACGCTCCTCCAGCCGCCCCGGGGGCTGGGCTGTCACAACCAGCCCTGGGATTTAGCCCTGCAATTCCCGCTGGAATTCGCTGGAGATCTGTGGCTGCATCCCCTGCCCAGTGAAACCAGGCAGGGATTTGCACAGCGAGGTTCCTGGGGCTGACTCAATATTTTTGCTCCGTTTCCCAACCTCTGCTTGGGGTAAAGAGGCAAAAACCCCCCCGGTTTTTGTGGTACAACCACAACCTGTACCCCCCTCCCTTGGCATCCCACACATTTCATAAAATCTCTTGCAGACCCCACCTCCACAGGGAGCACCACTTTTAACCAGAAGACACGGATTTCAACCCATTTAGCTTGCAACAGTTGCAGAGAAAATCCCAAACTCCCTCAAACGGCCCCACCCGGGAGCGCTGCTGCCCCGCTCCATAAATCCCAGCCTGGCATCATCCAGGGTGGGGGAATTACACCAAGCCTGCAGATGTGAGCGTGGGAAAGGGGCTGTGCTGGCGTCACCACGTGAGGCTGAAGGTCAGGACCTCGAGGCTGAGCCGCCACCACCATCCCCACCACGCTCCCAGCTGCAGCCGGCTGAGGGGAAAAAAAAAAAAAACCCGGGAAGAAGCAGCAAAATTCCTTTTTAGAGCCGAAATCAGCGCTTAATAGAAAGGAGGAGGAGGGGAGGGGGAGAAGAAGCCCGACAACCCAAAAACCCTACGCTGGAAGTGTGAAGGAATTTGAGCTCTAACTTTGGGGAGGGTGCGGAGCCGAGCTCGGCGTTTCTGAATCTCTCGGCTCCGCTCGGAGCCCAGCTGGTGGGAACAGAACGTGTAGTCATGGGACTGTCATCGTGTGCTGTCCAGGTTAACATGTAGCATTTCTATTACTATTAACAGACTTTCTGCTCCTCACTCCATCTGTTCTTCGAAATAATTGCAGTTGTACAGACCATGCCTTCGCTCCAGGCAGGCTCTGGGGAGAGGATAGTGTTTTTATGCACAAAAAAAAAAAAAAAAATTTTTAAAAAAAAAAAAAAAAAAAAAAAAAAAAAAAGAAAAAATAAGGAGAAAAAAAAAGTGTTAAAAAATAACAGCAAACACGAGAATAGAGTGCAAGTGAAGCTAACAGCAGGCTTGGAATTGGGGACAGATTGTGGCCTAGAAAGGTGACAGCGCACGCGGCCGGGGGCCGGCAGGGCCAGACCCCGGTGGGGACAGGAGCTGGGGTCAGCGCCCTGAGCCGGGCTGGCCCCGGGGGATTTTTCTCTCTCCTCACCTGCCGGCCACTCTAAGAGCCACAATCCCTCACCTTCCACCTAAAGATAGCAAAGCCCTCCCCGAGCCGAGTTAATCCAGGCTGCTCATCCTGCGCCGCTCCCGAGGCTGCAGCAGCCCCCAAAGCCACCCCAAAACCCCTGTGTGATGTCCCCGGGCCATGCCAGGCACCCCAAACACGGGGGGGATGTTTTTGAACTGCTTGCAAGCAGCAGAGCAGCCCGAGTGTGGTGATTTTGGGGGTTTTTGATGCTGAAATCCCTCCTCGACACAGGCTAACAGCATTAGCTGCTGTCAGGGCTGCAGACGGGAGCCAGCCCCGAGTGACACGGGAGCTGCTCAGCTTTACAAGCACGAGCCAGCCCCAGGGATTTTGGGAGAGGAGGAAAGTGGCTTTAGATCAGAAAATTCCTCCAGTGCACAAGAACAGGAGGCATCTCGCTGTGCAAAGGGAAGGGAGGAAGGGGGAGAGGGAAGAAAAAGCCACTTTGGGATGCTGCGGATGAAAATTTTGGGGAGAAAAACACCCCCGAATCTTTGTCGCTCATTCCTGCTTGGCCCAAGCCATGGAGGAGCTGCTGGAGTGCAGGACCCAGTGTGTCCTATCGGTGTCATGGGATCATGGAATGCTTGGGCTGGGAAGAGACCTTAAATTCCATCCAGTTCCATTCCCTGGGCAGGGACACCTCCCACTGGCCCAGGTTGCTCCAAGCTGGCCTTGGGCACTGCCAGGGATCCAGGGGCAGCCACAGCCTCTCCGGGAATTCCATCCCAGCCTCTCCCCTTCCTCCTAGCCAGGAATTCCTTCCCAATATCCCATCTCTCTGGCAGTAGGAGCCATTCCCTGGGTCCTGTCCCTCCATCCCTTGCCCCCAGTCCCTCCCCATCCCTGCTGGAGCCTCTTCAGGCCCAGGAAGGGGCTCTGAGCTCTCCCTGGCTCCTTCCCTTCTCCAAGTTCCAACTGGGTCACCCTTCCCCGGCCACCCTTCCCTGCTTCCTAACTCCAGGTCACTTTAAAATCTACATTTAACCATTGACGGGAGCTGCTGCCTTCCCAAGGACCCAAACCCACATCTGCACTGCCCAACTTTGCCCCCACACCCCAGGGAAGGGGCGTCCTTGCCCTGCTCCTCCCCCCGACACGGAGCCGGAGCAGCAGAGCTGGTGGCAGGTGACAGGAGCCCTGCATTCTGTGTTTTCCCTGCTAATTGTTCCTAGAGGGGAGGCAGCAGTGAAATATCCAGTTATTCCTGCAGAAAGCATTAGCTGCTCCAATTAGGCACAGGTTTAGGAAACTCGCTCCGAGCAGGCAGCGACTTTTCCAAGAGGCAGGCAGGCAGGAGAGGGATTTTGTGCGCTGAGGATACACATGGAGCTCAACAGATCCCGCGGAGCCGGGGCTGCACAGGAATTAAAGACTTATCCAAATGAAAGCAAATAGGGTGTTAAGCGACACACATGTAGAGCGAGCGGTTTCCTTGGAAACCAGCGCACATGGAAGCAGCACACATGCAGTGCTCCGGCATTTTCGGCAGCGCCGGGGCGGCCCCGGAGCTCTGCCCTGCCAGGGATACCCGGCTCGGGCTGGCCATGGAGCTGGGTGAGCCCAGGGGTGGCCGTGTTGGTGTGTCCATCATCCCATTGGCATCCGTTTATCCAGGGCATGGAGGAAAAATGGATTAAAATGTGCTTTATTCTGTGAAGGGGAGATGGATGGTGCCCAAGCTTTGCTGTAGGAATTCCATCCCAAAACCAGGCCAAGCCCCAGCCAGGCCCAGCCCAGCGCCTGCTTCCCAACATGGGAATGAGCAGGTTTGGATGGATCCAGTCTGGATGCTCCCAGCTCACCCAGCCCTCAGAGCTGTGCACACCCAGAGCACAGGATGGTCCCTGCACCAGCCCCTTGCCACTCAAGGGATGAGATGAAATTTCCAGCTGCCCCATTGCCACCACATCCCTGACAGCTCCTAAGGAATTTCCCTGGGTGCTGAAGGAAATCACAGAAATCACAGACAGGTTGCGATGGTGTCTGAGCCAAAAAACCTTTCACCTCCCTGGGAGCTGCAGCCTGGCTTTGCCCCAGCCTGGATTATCCTGCTGTGAAGGATTTTGATGGCATGAGATGATCCAGGCTGGTCCCACTGATGTGGAGATGGGACTGGGGATGGAACCAGGGAAGAGCTGGGTTTATGCAATTACAAACCGAAAAACCTCAATCTACCCCAAAACCACCTTCCAGAGCAGGGCAGGAGCTGTCTGGGCAGGGAGCTGGGAAGAGTACCCAGAACACTGGGAAACATCCCAGCTCTCTCCACAGGGATGCTTGGAGGGTCCAGCTCACGTCCCACCAGCGCAGGAGTCGGAGGTGAAAGCGCCGCCAGCACCAGCTGAGATTTGAGATCAATCTGGGTTTTTTTCTTGGCTTGTCCCCAGTACTAAAAAGTTTCTATAACAGGCACCGCTTTGCAATTCTGCTGCTGCTGCCTCGCCAGAGAGAAATTCCAGCTCCTTCCTCGGCAGCAAAGAAATTGTTTGGGACCGAGTTGTGTTGTGGCTTGGGGAAGGATCTGCCGAGCGCGGCAGGATTTCACCTCCTCCTTTTCCACCTGCACCTCGCCACTTCCACGGGCAAAAAAACAGGTCAGCAAAATTAACCCTGCTCCGCAGGACTTGCCCAAGGGGACAAGTGGCACCGGCTGAAGGCTTGACCCAACTCTCCCAGGCCTGGCTCCTGCTGCCCAAGGGAACTTCATTGAATTTCCAACTGCAGCACTCCCCATCCCTCTGCTCTCCCTTGGGGCTCCCTCACCAGCCAAATATTTATGCAGCCTGATGTCCTAATGAGGATTGATTCATCCAGGATGGTTAAGGAGTGTGTGTGAAAGGTCTGTTCCCAGATTAAGGGCTTGGGATGCTTTAAGGAATGGATTATTTGCTCTAAAAGAACAGTTTGTTTTCCCTCATAGCAGCAATAAA